GGCCACACGTACATGTAAGTTTGTAAACGCATTGGGATGTGATAGTATTGTTCGGATTCTGTAAGGGTCTACAGGACAGAATAGATCTTGTTTTCTCTATGAAAATAAGTTTGGCTGAACAGTAAGTTCTACCATTTGCCACTTTGAGCCTTTATTTAGTGATCAGACAATGCTGATCAACCTTGAACAGTAAGAATATATAAACATCCTTTGTAGAAGCTGACTGGATCGGTAGAGCTCTTCGTTTGACACTTCTGGGCAGCTTAATTAATTTCAACGAATAGTTGCTATCTAACAATATTTCAGGAAGGTGTTGTGTGTCTTCTTCCATGGTGTCGGCTATACATATATGACGAATGATTCTGAACAAACACTTAACCAATGCTTTTTTATACTGTAGTGGACAGAAACTGCTATAATTTAGATTCTGTCCCATGGATGTGGACTTTCTGTAGAGAGATCGTTTTGGGCTACCGATATCACATGCTGAAAATTCCATACCTATACCAAAAGAATTCGGTGTGGAATCAAGCTGTAATTCAAAAGTTAATAAAAAAGTGCTTCTCTTTCATTCATCTGCTTCATCTGTTTTGTTGGAATTATCTTTAATATATGTGACATGAAATTTACTGCCTTCTGTGGAACCCTCGCTGCTAAAACGTAAAGTAAAACACGTAAGAAGTTAGATAAATCACCTAATAACAACAAACTTGTAACTCCTTTCCCTGTAAATTCAGACAAATAATCTGTCAATGTATCTTCCAAAGAACTTCCGTCACTACATAAACAAGCCGTATCAATTGGACCGAAATTTTGCGTTCCTCAAAAGTATTTCTCAGAAATTGAAATTCACTCACAATTCGAAAATCTGTATGACCAAACTAAGGCTCTTCTTCCTGTTTCTGATGATCATCATGGTTGGTTCAAAGCAAAGTTATTTGGCATTGCTCACTAGTTTTGCAAAGTTCGTACACTTCAGAAAAGTATCGTGACGTCTGAGCGTGAGTCGGTGGCATAGCGGTAGAATCCTCGCCATTCACGCATGTGGCTAGGGGTTGACATGGGACCGACGTACTCCTCTTCCTCACTAAGCCAGTAATATGACTAGTAAAAATGGAAGCTAACAACCCGATCCCGTAAAAATAAACACCACTGCTACCGAAACTTCAAAGCTGTAACTTGAATCTGTAGTTTCTACTAGGAATGTAAAGGCATATAATAGTAATATATAAATAATTGTAATAATAACATCTGAGCAATTTATAGCTCTAAAAGAACTGAGACATAATAGTGAAATCGTCATCCTCACACTAGATAGAGGTTTGGGTGTAGTTATAATGAACAAAGTTGTATACAAAATAAAATGTTATGCATCCTTGAAAACAAGGTCATATTTACCAGACACTCTACTTCAAAAGGTGTGAAGACTGTACAAGATAAGGTGACAAACAATCTAGGAAAAACTCTTAAACATGAATGCAATACTAAAGAGAAGTTCAACTGACTAAAACTCACAGAATTTCAATTACCACACATATATGGTCTGACAAAGATACATAAACCTAATGTCCCTCTCCCTCTCATAATATCAATGTGCAAATTGCCAATCCACAAACTTGCAAAGTGGCTAGCAGGAATATTAAAGCCTATTAGACGAAGCTTCTGTAAGTTTGTATTTAAAGATTTTTTCGGTCAATCAATTTTCTTAATAAAGTTGACAGAAAGGACAAAACCATGTTTTCCTCAGGTGTTGGTTTTTCATTTACAAATGCGTCTCTGTTACAGATGGTTGACATTTCATGTGACTACATCCCTATTAACTATTTCTTATTACCAGTGTCCATATATTATTTAAAGGCGTTCTTGCATTTATCTAGTGACAATGTATATTTTAGTTTTGGGGTGGGGGGTGAGAGGTGGCATTTCCGCCAGCTCGATGCCATCATAGCTTGATGCCACACCGAATTCTTTTGGTATAGGTATGGAATTTTCAGCATGTGATATCGGTAGCCCAAAACGATCTCTCTACAGAAAGTCCACATCCATGGGACAGAATCTAAATTATAGCAGTTTCTGTCCACTACAGTATAAAAAAGCATTGGTTAAGTGTTTGTTCAGAATCATTCGTCATATATGTATAGCCGACACCATGGAAGAAGACACAACACCTTCCTGAAATATTGTTAGATAGCAACTATTCGTTGAAATTAATTAAGCTGCCCAGAAGTGTCAAACGAAGAGCTCTACCGATCCAGTCAGCTTCTACAAAGGATGTTTATATATTCTTACTGTTCAAGGTTGATCAGCATTGTCTGATCACTAAATAAAGGCTCAAAGTGGCAAATGGTAGAACTTACTGTTCAGCCAAACTTATTTTCATAGAGAAAACAAGATCTATTCTGTCCTGTAGACCCTTACAGAATCCGAACAATACTATCACATCCCAATGCGTTTACAAACTTACATGTACGTGTGGCCACAGGTAAATAGCGAGGACCCATCGATCTCTGCAGGTGACGGCTACAGAATGTATTTCAAAGTGGCTGCAACAAATAAAATCACCGGACAACATCATCAACATCAATGCACATCATAGAGGCAGGTTGATTTCAGTACTGTCTGTAAACCCATGAATAAAGCAAGGTTGGGTCACATACTTCAGTTCGTTGAAGCCTTGGCTATAAAGTAGTTTAGACCTTTCTTATGTGTCTAAGAATTACCTGTTTTTTTGTCTAACTTGCCTTGGTAACCCAATTTAGGACCAAGGTCCGATTTATTCAATGATATCTTCACCATCTCCCTTCTGTTCTTTCCTACTCCACACCCTTACGTCATCTTCACACCCGTTATTTGTGACCCTGACACGTGCACAATTTCGTGTGTATTGTAATAATCGTTGCTATCTCGCCTTCTATTTAAATGTGTATGACAAGTACGTGTGTGATCAGAATTTCCGAAATGTGTTAGGCAGATACATTACATGTTTCATTTAAACTATATCATCCTATTTTTTTGTCGAAATTCATTAAAAGAACTGATTGTATTAAATTAAATTTTCATTGTGACTATTTAACCTGCTCTCTGAAATCTACATTCTTGCTCGTAAACCTCACTTTGTTTTCTCAACTTTCTAATGCAGTACTTCAATTTTACCTTCTAGAATCCTGAAGAGTGTTCGTATCTGATATATTTTGAGCCTATGTAACGACATCCGAACGAACCAATCAAGACCCTATTGTTAAAAGAAATATGGCGAGGAAAATGGAGACGGATAAGACACACTCTGATAAGAACAGTGGTTGACTTCTCGTGTCAGGTCCTATAGTGGAACGCGATTGGGAAGTGATGAGTCAGGCATAGATCCGAGGGTGACATGCAGGGGATCGTGTGGAGAGGAAATGAAAGCTTATAGTCAATCTCCAGGCCAACTGAAGGGGCTTCAAAGAACAGGACAAATGGAGACGTGCTGCTGAAGACCTCGGCGCTCAACGGAATAATAATACATACATAATGCATAACGATTTCCAACTGATAAGGACGTACATCAGTGCTATAAATATCCACCAGAAAATTCAGATTATTGGGCTTCTCAGAGATCTGACTTGGTTGTATATATTCACTGTTCTTGTCTACTACATTCTGTAAAGTCATAAATCTGAAGGACATTAGATGTAGAAATATGATGATTATTTATTTGTACACGTCATATAGTTGTCGCCACATGATGTTGAGTGAGTTGTGTAAGGTTGAATCTACCCCTAGGAAATCTGATGGCACAAATTCTCTACGTCAGTCTTCTAAATATTCACTATGCTATACTATGAAAGACACTTATCATAGGTTATGGCACTACTGTATCACGTTCTCAGTATTAATGATAATTTGTGTATCAGTGAAAAAGCCAGTGAAAAAGTAACAGCAGAAGAAGGTGACAACACTGAGGAGAATTCAATACGGAACAGACAAAGACGATATTCTAATTATTTACAAATTTTGATATCAGTGTAAGAATTGTGATTTTCTAAATCTCCATTGTATTTTGTAATGAAGAAGTTTACCTCTGTCTTTACCAATCTTGTTCACTTAGCTGTTAGGTATCCATCCATTCAAATCTTAGACCAGTTAGAATATACCCCATAAAGCTACAACATTCTATGTATACAAACAGTTGATCTGGTTACCAGTTGCCTAGTAAGGGTTATTCTAATTTCCGCTGATGAATGATGCATGAACATTTCTACCCAGCTGCTTTTATCAAGGATAATCATGTTGTTATTTACTGAGTTACTTGTTTTATTTAAATGATTTATTTCTGTGAAAGATGTTTGGCAGTTAAACAATGTGGGCGAGGCAGTAACAATAATAATAATAATAAACTTCATAATAATGAGATGAAGGCATTCGATACTAGTTGTCTCCAAACCATCCTTTTAAGTCACTTGAATAACCAATTTTAGGTGGACAAAGTGTTCATTCTGCTTTGAGACTCCATCAGAATGCTTATGAGTATGCATTATGTTAATAAGACTTATGAATTCAATTTTCTAAAAGAATGATAATAATTGACAAGCTCGGTGTTTAGTGTCTTGTGTATGATCAGATATTGGAAGTAAAGAAAAGGGGCAGTTGACAACTCCATCAGTCTCATTAACTCTATATGGAGCGTGCTTCTGATGAATTCACTTGAATAACCAATTTTAGGTGGACAAAGTGTTCAATCTGTTCGAAATGCGTTAGGTAAATACATTATATAGTTGTGATAAACTACGTCTTCTTATTGTCTTGCTGAAAGTTAGTTATTAATACCGAGATTTCTGAATTTTGTTTCAAATATTGGAAATAGTAATCATAGCTGATCACTATAAACTTCGACTCAGTTACGCCTCATAAAATGGACCGGAGACTGTGCAGAAAAATTTCGCCTTTCATGTAAGTCTATATTTTGACTTTCAAATGAATATTTGTCCGTTATTTGATTGACGGGCGCAAAAATAACCTAAATGTTTATGTTTTATTCTGGGAGTGCATATCTCTCGGGGAAGACACCATGTTATCTTTATTTATTTGGTGTATCACATGTAAGTGAAGTGTTACATTTCAAAAATAACCTGTTTGTCATAAGTAAAACAAAACACGTAGATCAGCGAAGAGTCTAGTCTCTTTTCGGCGAATTCATTTTCTTACCTGTACAATCGCAAATATACACATATCGGTTATTTTGTATGTGTATGTGTACATTAAGTTTTTCAAACAAAAATGCAATTGCTTATGATTATTTTAACTAAACAGGTGAAGATCGCTAATGGCAGTTACGTAATACAAAATGAGTCAAGAAAATTAGGTGTTAATGAAATTAGGGTAGTAACAAAGGTGACGAGTTTTCACAAAGAGTTGTTAAAAAAGAAGTTATGTAATAATATGAATAGTTTGATGAGTGAGTTTTACTCAGTAAGCACATAGGAACAAAGTAGATAGTACGAAATTACCCAAGAGTTCAGGAAGAATTATAAGCAATTAAAGAAACAAGCAAATAAACAAAATTAAGTCATCATAATCAACAAAGTTGTTACCATGATAGTGGAAGTGGTTGATTGATTCTCTTTTGTATGCACAGTTCCGGGTTTTCTATGTGAATGGCCAGAGCTTCAACGATACAAAAGAGACGAAACAGTATTTCCTTTGGTAGGTTATTCTTGACCCTGTAGATTACTTTGAAGCAGGAGGCGTTTGTTGAGATGGAATGATCATTGTTAACCAGATGTTGAATTATCTCACTGCTTATAGCATCACTACTGCTTTCTCGCAAACATACTAGATAGTCTTCTTGAATCCTCCTGAACAGGATGCGCCGAAAAACCGATACACCTGGCTCCACAGCATCAGGTGACCTGATATCTGCACAGAGAAGTGGTCAGATGGGGGATCTTGTACTTGAGGCCTCTGCAGATCAGTGGGCAACTGGAGAATACTATTCTTAACGTCTCTTCTCAGAGATGTTGTGATCATTCTCTCGAGAATATCGCTTGTCGAATCTCCCTTGAAATCCAAGTTCATGCAGACTTTCTCTTTAGGCGAATTTAGAGTTTCATTTCTCCGAATTCTTGCTTTGATACTTTTGTCGATGAATCTGATTGGATATCCATTTTGGATGAAGATTTCTCCTAGAATATCTAATTCCGTTTCCAGAACATCGAAACTACACACACCCATATTTTTACACAGGATATTTGTTTTTCTTTATTTTAAATGTATTCAAACCACAGAGGAGGACACAGAGAAAGACAGTGAGAGACTATGTTAATTTCAAAAATTTTAACACAAAATACTTATAGCTGAGGTGCGAAATGCAGAGATAGATTTCTTCTACAAGGGATCATGAATCGGTGTGCACAATTTAACAATTACTGTACACCAATAAACAGACTAATAACAGTTCACAAGAAAGTCATTCATCGCCAACTGGGTAACATAAATCTTCACTATCTTGCATATAACCGTCTCATTTATTTGAGTAGCTGGCGGTGGAATATTAATACTTTCCAGTGCCTTACATAAACTGACCACAACAACAAGAATCCGTAAGCAATGAAATCACTCAAAACATTGACTGTTTATGATAGAAATTACCGAGTACAATGCCAGCGTATTTATAAATACTCGTGATGTACACTTTACTCTTGTAAAATGTACAGCAATGTAAGAGGGTGAAGTCATTGAGGAAATAATTCTTCACTGAATGAATCCTTGTTTTTGTTTATTCATGAAAAAGGCGAAAATAAGCAAGTTTGGAATAAAGCTATTTTTATTATCAATATAACTTGCGCATCAGGAATATGAAGTAAAGTGATCTATTGCCTCGATAATGTTTTTGAATTTGAATAAGCCATAATGAAGTGGTTGGTGACGTGATCTCAACACGAATACAAAAAGTCTCGTTCGTATATGAGATAGTCGCCATCTCAATTTAACGTGACATATCACTCAAGTGTACTGCTCTTTATGACTATGAGACATGGTTGACGAAGACGAAAGCAGAAGACATGAAAATACCGTGTGTAATTTCGTAGAATTAATGTCACTGGAATGTGTTGTGTATTTTGGAGGATAATAAATTAATTGCAGTAATATTTTAACAGTTTACACACAATGGTAAAACAAAATAACAAAATAGACGTATCATTCTACCAAGATGAAATTATGTGTACACTGTTGCTATACAGTTATGATTAATTCGTAACATCACTTAGGCTAGAGTTAGCAACATAGTAAGTAATAATGAAGTTAGGCATACAGTTTTATGTGAGACAATTTAGAAAACAGAAAGATTGAGCGAAGAAAGATTCACTTCTCAATTAGGTCCTCCTTTCTGGCTCTACTCTAATATATATATATATGCATATATATAGCATTTTTATTACAATACACAACAATTTACCAATCAAGTGGCAATTTGTTTGTTGACAATATTAATGATTAGTCAGTGTCAAAATGTCAATGGGTTGTTGATAAACGAAGGAAATCAATACACATTTAAGAGGTAGAAATGGTTAGAATAAATTAATTTTACAAGTATAACACGTAATTAAAGATGAAGTGGTCAGAAAAAATAAAATAATTTGGACAATTATACTTTTTATAATTTCAACGGTTTAGGTTTATGTATAAAAATGCTGTATACATATTAGAGTAGAGCCAGAGATGAGAATCTAATTGAAAAGCAAATATTTCTTCGCTCAAGCTTTCTGTTTTCTAAATGTTTTAATGGGGATTTTTTCCATACTGAGACAATTTAGTTAATCGATTTGTGAGTATTCATTGGTAAATGTGGTTTAAACACACATTTTACGCATGTTGGATAGCTGCTTTATTCGAGAAGTACTGACAGTTGAATCAGAATTAGGCTGGAATAGATATGAAGTACGACTACTAGTCTGAGCCATATGGGGTACGTAACAATATGATTGTACACTTTTTGTAAGATGTTGAAACCACACACATTGTACATAACTTTTCTTTAAAACGATTCATTTCGAAAAACAGATAACTTCCCAGTACAATCTGAAAGACAGTGTATTGTTGGTCGGTTCGCCCTTCCTTGACTACACCCATGGACTGTCAACCAGGTCCTATGAGTTGCTAAGCGAGCTTATTTGTTACTTGAACATTGGTTCCTCCAACTGATATCATTTCGAGTTCTCTTACCTGAAATATCAGGTTGTTGTTATTGTTCTTATTTGTTCAAGTTTATCCACAGGAAATAATTGTTTTGGCGAATAATGAGTTGTTGTCATTCAGTCTCATTATAACTATTTTCCATTTATCTTAAATGTTTGTATAGGAATTAGTTGGAGCCGGGGATGCTAAAGGAGCTTATTTAAGATTTGCGGACAAACTGACTACAAATCATTTTCTCAACTTTTATTTCTTAGGTAATTACACTTATTTCTGAAAAAAGACCTTGTTTGAAGTAGTAGTTAATAGTATTTGTTGTTGTTGTTGTTGTTTCGTTCTTTGGGTTCTCTGTTAGGTAAAGGGGGCACCTCTTCATTGCTCTTTCATTTCCCTGCTGTCGTTTCAGTTTTTAACCGGTTCTATGATTACTATTGTGGTGAGTGCTACTTATAATCAGATGTCTGTCTGTCTGTTTTCGACATAGAACTTTGCACAAATGTGCGGAAGTTCAAGTCGCCACATTCCGTGTAGCACGCGAAGCAAGAGAAGAAAGTACAAGAAAAGCTTAATAGAAACAGTGAGCAGAGGTGTGAGACAAAGGAGTAATAAAGAAATACAAAATAGTTTCATTGGAGATCATAAGTCAGAAGGAGTGGATGCATCTGCGCCACTGAGAACGATTTTGAGCCATGTCACCAATTGTTTCCGACCATAGAGTTTAACCGTCCCGAGGACCTCAACCTGTAAGGCTACACCTTCCTACGTGGCTTAGACCAACTGTTGTGGATTTCATTGACTGGTGCCAAGTTTTTGTTTGACCACCGCTAGCTTTTTTCCAGCCTGACCCTATATCCGCTAACATTGCTCGTCGAGAGAGGCGATGGCTTGGCATACGTAACACATGTCCTAACCATCTCAGTCTTTGTAACTTCACGACTTCGTCGATTGATTTCCCCTGTTTACCTAGAACTCTACGCCTAACCTCAATGTTGCTCACCTTATTATACCACTTTACACGGGAAATAGAGCGGAGGCACCTATGATCAAAGACAGCTAGTCTTTTCATGTCTTCCACTCTCGGTGGCCAGGTCTCACAGCCATAAAGGAGGACGGAGCGGACTGATGAGCAGTACACCCGCCCTTTGGTCGATAGTCGAATATCTCGTCTACGCCAGAGTCGGCGTAAACTGGCAAATGCGAAACGAGCCCCCTGTATCCGTGCTGAGATTTCGTCAGAGATCAACCCGTTGGCGCTGGCTGATGGTACTTCCCAAATGAGTGAAGCGGTTAACGTGCTCTACCACTTCACTTCCTATTTTTAAACTAGGCGTCGATGTAGTCCAGTCCTGTAACATCATCTTGCATTTGGCGGGAGCGAATCACATGCCAAACATTCGCAGATTGCGGCTCAAGGTGTTTAGAAGACTCTGCATTTCGTCAGCGTCTTCGCCTAGAAGGACTATATCGTCTGCATATTCCAAGTCAACGAGATTATTCCCCGGTAGCAAGTCAATCCCTGAGTCGCTGAAGTCACCTAGGGTTAAGTCCATTAACACATCTATGATGAAGTTGAATAGAAAAGGGATAATGGGCATCCTTGACGGACACCACTGGTCGTCATCAGTTCAGATGACAGCTCGCCGTAAGTCCTCACCTGGCTGTATGAGTACGAGTAGAGTGCCTTAATCAGTACAGTATATTTTCTTGGAATTCCCTTTACAGCCAAGCATCTCCAGAGAACTTCCCGATCGACAGAGTCGAATGCTGCCTTTAGGTCAAGAAATATAATGACTGTTGGACGCCGGTAGGAATTCCTATGTTCTAGAATCTGTCGGAGGGTGAAGATATGATCAATACACCCTCTTCCTGGTCTAAAGCCTGCCTGGCTCTCTCGTGTTTGTGCTTCCCGAGCACCACTCAGTCTACGCATGATTATTGAGCCTAAGACTTTAGATACTATATTAGTCAAGCTAATCCCTGTGTGATTATCACAGGAAGACTTGTCTTCCTTCTTGTATATGGGGATAATCAGTGACTTACACCAACCCGATGGGACTTCTTCTGATTCCCAGACGCTGCCTAGTACCTCAGTTAATGCAGACAGTAAGCTGTCTCCACCGTACTTAAATACCTCTGGAGTCATTCCATCAGGTCCCGCTGCTTTGCCTAGTTTCAGATTGGTGACAGCTTTAGTAACCTCAGTTAGGGATGGAGGACCTATGTTTATATCCCATTCAGGGAGGTGTTGGATGTTCGGAAGATTGAGCGTGGCTGTGGGCCAATTAAACTGCTCCTCATAATGCTCTTTCCAACGATCCAGTCGTCTATCCTGGGAGCTAATTATAGTGCCATTTTTTTCCGAGATTGTCTCACTGATGATTTGTCTTCTCCCACCCGTTTCCCTGATGAGTCAAATAGTTGCCTGGTGTTGCCTATCCTCGAAGCTTTCTCCATATCTTTGGCTTTTGTCGCCCACCACTGTTCACGGTCCTTGCGGAGACTTTTCGTAAGTTTCCTCTTGTGCAGCTTTCGCTCCTCATTGAATTCGGAGTTCGCCGAAATAAGTTTTCTAGCATCTATCAGTTCGGATGAGGCGGTGGAGATCCAGTGGTTTTTACTCACCTTTGGGATTAACTTATTCACAGCTTTTACAGCTGTATCTATGGCTGCCTGGATATTTTTCAAAGCTTCTTCAGGGTGAGCACAGCTGTCGAACACAGATATGTGTTTAGCTAGTTCTTCCTGAAATACGGATTTAGTTTCCTGATCGAGCTGGGGACGTGATGGTTTTACCGCCAGCTGTTTCCTACGTCCGTTCAGTCGTAAGCACACCCGAGCGCGGACCAGTGCATGGTCGGTATCTACGCGCGTGTTCCAGAAGGAGCGACAATCTCCTACCGACCTACGCCAACGATAGCTTATTGCTATGTGGTCTATTTGTGTCCAGCGTTGGTTTGATGAAGGGGGTCTCCAAGTCAAACAGTGTCTCTCCTTGTGTTTAAAGTTAGTGCTTACAAGAAACAAATGATGATCAGAGCAGAACTGTAGGAGACGGTCACCGTTGTCGGTTCGCTGGCATGGAGCTCCATAGGTGCCATCGACATCCTTCTCAGATTGACACAATTTCCCTACTTGAGCGTTAAAGTCACCAGCTAGAACGACTATGTCTGAGCGTTTAGCCTTTCGCACCAAACTAGACAGCTTTTGGTAGAACACATCCTTCGTTTCATCTGAACTGCAGTCAGTGGGGGCGTAGGCGGAGATTACGAAAAGGCATCGTCGAGTAGTGCAGTCCTTCCTCCTTCTTACTGATCCGTTCAGGCGGACAGCACACATTCGGCTATCTACCGGGATCCAGTCAAGCAATGTCTTTTCTGCCCTAGTACTCAAAGCTATCCCTACGCCAGCTAATCCTCGTGAACTAGCTGTGGCATCTCCTGACACCCTCAAGGTGAATTTTGCAGATTCAACCTGTTGGCCAGGTGGGGTTAGGTGAATAACCACACTTGGGTCTTGTATGCGTGTTTCTGAAACACAACATACATCAATGGCTCGTGATGCCAGGGTCTTGGCTAGTGATGCTTGTTGTCCTATTTGGCAAAGTGTCCTAACATTAAGAGCTCCTATATGAAATTGGTGGCGCGGCTTTAAGAGGCTGTCGGTGGTGGTTTTTTGGCTTCCATCGTTTTTAGTGGACGCAGAGTGGAGAGGAAGTGGAGAGCTATCAAGTCGAGGAGTTGCATCAGTGGAAGGAAGGCAAGATGATAGAGATGAAGATGAAGACAAAGATGAGTGAGTAATAGAGAGGTTTCGTGTGCATTTCGGATTGTGAGGGCGATTGTTACTTCCCGGCTGCCCACACCATCGAAGTTGGTTGCGTGACCACAGAGCCCAGGGGACAACTGCTTGAGGCCGATCACACGCGGCCTGTTTTTGTTCGTTCTTTTTTGTTTGGTGTGTCTCAGTAGCAGATTTATCACTCCTGCCCTGTGACACGGCAGCAGCAAGCGCGGTCGTTGTTAATCCGGGCCACGGCCGATCCGGCATGAAATTTTGTGTTTTTGTATTGGACATGATGTTGGATTGGGTAGCTGCTTTTTGTTTAACCGCTATCCAGACAACCTGCCTGGCATGGTAGTACCTCAAGAGACATAAGTCTCAGCCAGTATAGCTTGAATAGATCATTGCGGTGTGCAAGCCCGACCACCACGTCAAGGTAGCAGCTTTCGGTCGGATATCAGATATAAGTAGTATATCAGTAAACGAATTCAGAAAAGTAACAATATGTTTCGGACACTGGAAAAAGGCAATCGAAGTAGAGAACTGTGAGAAGAATGTTTCAAACGCTGTACAGAATCTAACAAGCTATTGAATTTGGTGGGTGATATTCGACCAATTTGCGAATGATATGCAATGAGAACATTGGTGATATGATGCGCTAAATTTATGTACCTACAGTAAGCTTATCCTTTAAGCCTCATCGGTCTTTCCTTCCTTACACTACTGTTCATATAATATCTCCTGTGTCACCGCCATGTACTCAATTCATCGTTTCAATCGACATTCGTTTCATATGGCGTTTTATATGGGCTATAGTTTCTTGTCTGGATTGTGAACGGGAAAAGACAAGCGACTTAGTAACGGAAAACTACATCAAAAGTTGACTTTTTTAGCCATATTTATGGCCGACACTAGGTCAACGGGCAATAAACTGTTTTGACTGGCTGATGATTTTCTGAAAGAAAGTGAAACCTTGAGATGATTTCTTGACCAAGATGTAAGCTGGATTTGACAGATTTGACAAATAAATGCTTCTGTTGTTTTCAGTTTTGACTACTTTCTACCAGTCAACGTCTGTATACATGCTACTGATAAATCTTGTCACAGTAGCACACGCTTGTGTCATGTTGTTCACATTAAGTGCATGAAGTGGTACCACTGGCGTGTGCTACTCATAAGATTTATCAGTAGTATACATAAATAAAGATGAATATGAAGAGTTGGTCGTTGGCATAAAACATCAATTAGCAGGGGGATAGATTGATTGGCTGTCAACCCAAGAAAGCAAATGATGAATGATGCAGTGTTGCTTGCGGAGATACATGGGAAACGTGAAAGGAACACAAAAATAACGTAACATAAGGGCCAGAAGTAGCGGACACAACACGGAAGATCTGTGCAAAAGGTGATTTGTGAAGATAAGGTGTACGTAATTCCCCCATATAGATAAAGATTCCGTATTCCAAATAAATATTCCTTTACTAAGTGTCTTATCTTCTGCCGTTACAGTACCTCTGCGTATTAACACTTTATACAAGACACCGAACTGATTTCTTCTGGGTCTTGTGTAGATATGCTGTATTGGTTCAGGCATAATTAAACATTTGGTCGATTCACTGACGGGTGGATAGGGCGAGTGCCTCTATTCATCTGCAACAATCTGAATTATTGATTATCCGTTTTTCGAATTCTCTACAAATTTCATTTCGAAATTTACTTAATTTTATCATATTATAAAATCTATTTCCTACATAAATTCTTATTTCTCATCTAAATCCTGTTAAATGTGATAAACAAATACATTTTGTTGTTTTTGTTGGAAATTTGATAGTAGACGAAAAGGTTTGGCAAAAATCGGTGAAGGGTGCTTTGGGAAGTATTCCGATGTTGGGCCGGGAAGCGCCGAACGAAGCGCGTCGTCTTGAAGTTTATTCCAGTAGAGGGGCATATTAATTTTAATGGTGAATCTCAAAAGACTTTTGATGAAGTTCTCTCTGAAGTAATTGTAGCTAAGTACGTTTTTTTAAAATGTTAATTATTCATCTCCATTTTGGTGTGAAGAGTTCATAGTGAGTTGATTTTGTACAAGTCAGCGGCTATATTATTATTATTTGTTGCTTGCCTTCCCAGTGGAGAGTGAGCCGCCCCCCCTCCCGGGAACATCTTCATTACACTCTGCACTCTGAACACTCACTTGGCTTCAAGACTATTCACCCCAAGCTGGCATTTCCTACTCAGATTACCTTCTGTGCGTCAACCTCGGAGGCTCAACTCGTTACTTCTCGTTTGGGTCATGCTCGAGGGCCTGGGATGTGATGTATATCATTTAACAAATCTGTGGTCTACAGACCACAATGACATAGATATAAAGGTTTCATTCATCAACAAAAAGAGAAATTCATGTGGACAAAAGATCAACAAAATGATAATCAGCACCGATACAATGTCGACTAATTGTTTTTGAGAGAATTTCCAGAAGCCACCAATTACTACTTTCAAGGTGTTCCCAGGAGGGATAACTGATACAAACTCGTGGAGAATAAATTAGGAAGCTCACTTCAAATTGGAGTATATGCTCTGAAGTGTGTGTGTGTGTGTGATATTGTCTAGAAAGGCAAAGGAAGCTTCGCAAATTAAACCATCCAGTTCAAAGAACACAACTACACCAATAAGTTCTTGGCTGGTTCCTGACTATTGTAACAAGTTCTGTCGTAATTTAAGGTGTTGATATATGGAATTTGTGTATTTATTTTAAATACTTGTTTAAATTCACATTTTTATTTTGTTAAGATATTGACCCAACAATTTATTAGGTGATGTGTGTGTCGGTAGTTATTCAGTGTTAGAACGCTCGTCAACCGCGCACGTGTTCCGGGTTCGAATCTTGAAGGACACGCTCCTGAATCTTGCCTTGTTTACTAGCCGTTAGTCAGCTCGGTGGTAGAGAAGTAAATCTTCCGTCGCTTTACAGGTTTTATTCTAGGTTAGACAAGGTTTGGCAGTAGTGGGTTGGTTGGGAGTCGAAACCGGGTCACGTGTGTGGTTGTCATCAAGATTCTGTTATTAAACACACAAAATCTATGAGTAAAGCATCAGGAGCAGCATAAATCACAATGATAAATTCTGATCGTTTTTTCTCCAGTTTTCTGTGAAACAATCTACGGTTAGACCATTATCGGCATTTTATTGCCTCCCGCTAAAATGGAAATCCGTTCGTTCAATGTTCACTATTTAATTTTCGTTAACATTATTATTATTATTATTCACATCAACTATTTTACATTACTAAGTATCTCAACATATGATGTGTTTATTATTATTATTGTATTTAATTTTTTAGAGAACTAACAGCTCTTGGTATGGGCTTAACAAATTGTACTTCTGGTTTTGTAGAGTTGATAAAGTGAGAGTTCACCTTTTGATTTTACTATTCACAGTGTGATTAAGCTTGTTCCAGGTTAACTAGTGTAGCGTGTCATTATCATTAGTTTATATATTTATTCTCCTTTTTGAATTTTGAATGAAGCAAGGACAACACTTTGTGCAGAATAAAAAATAGTTTCATCATTTATTTTGTTGGTTTCTTATGTTCATTCAAACTGTGTAGTATTACAAATTTAAACACATCTGCGGGAGCCGCGTTGGTGGTCCAACGGTTAGGATGCTCGTGGTCTGAGGTTCATTCTTTGGCCGACACACTCTTTTACCATGCTAAGCCAGTAGTAATAAAGCTGGTGAAGAGAAAATGTTGAACCTGAGGCAAGCAACCGCATCCTGTAAAAAATAAACACTTTTACCAAAACTTCAATGATCTAGCTTGAAGCCCTACGCTCCACTGGGAATGTAAAGGAGCAATTACACCATTAGGAGGACAGAAAGAAGAAGGCCACACGTCCGATTTTCTGAACATCTACGAAAAGACCCATATGTCAAGGGGAAAACGCTCACAGTGGTGTCTTTGCCAGACATCTTGTGGTGCGTATCGGAAGGTGGACATCATGAAATCCTTTGAAATTATGAACAGGGATAATGGTTCAATTCTCCTCGAGTTTGCTAAGGCAATCTCGGTCAAAAGCCTGAATCCCGGACTTATGTGTTCAGCAAGAGGTTGTTAAACAGTCTTCCCTTGGCCACCTGGTAACTGGATGTCATTATTCTTTCGTTCAGTAGACTGCATTATCACTAGCTTCAACCCCCCACCAACCCCTTTGACATGATATAATTTCGCTTCGTGCTCTTTTTCAATGAATTGAGTCGAACTAAGTATATTCTTACTCAATTTATGGGTTACTCATCATCTCACTCATTTCCCGTCGTTATTACGTAACTTTTGCCGTTGTATGCATACATTTCCTTTCTTTAAACTTGAACTCCTTCTGTGTAAAAACTACATAAGTGTAATTTTTCTAAGCATTGTTGATTAAGTTTGGAGCTTTCTATCACATCGACATGAAGTAAAATTTGTAATGTGTACACAGATGATGAGAATCCAACTAAATACGCAATGATGGGATACTATCATCTTATTCTACACAAACCACTGTTATTCTTGCTTTATTTAAATAATACTGGTAACTATTATTTTAAAGATTCGTCTAACTGGTTATATTCAAAAAGTACATATTTTGTGGTGTCTTTCGTAACCTGTTTTTTTGGACGCTCTAAATAGTGTATCAAAAAACCAGCAAATGCTGTATGAAGATACGTACCATTAAATGTGGTGGTGGTGGTAGTATAAGCAGTTAGATTAGCGTCAAGTCAGAAGTTTCACTCACTTTCTTCTTTACTCATCAGTTGTATTCTCTTAGGTACACCGATTTTAAATTCGTGACTAACGGGGTACAGCAGATCGTATGTGAAGACAAATACACTCGCCGTGGATGACACTGACTAGTGCCGGTCGCGCTATATTGTGAATTGGCCATTGGCTCGAGTCACTAGTGGCTTAATGGGCCACGATCTCGCCGTATAACTGGGCTCGAACCCTGACGGCGGATGGGTACTTCTGAAGAGTCATAAACCGGGACAAAACGACTGGCTGTCCAGTTGTCGCAGCTAGTTTTCCAATAGTTCCCTAACCTATGTCAGTTCATGATGAGCTCCTGTAAACAAATTTTAAAGCCAAATAATTTGAAATCATTTCGACTACTAGTATTGTTAACCGTTGCTGCATCCCTTATATTGAACACTTCTTAAAGCTTCATGATAAAATTGTATGTATACTTGCCAATTTTGAAGTCTCTCTGAGAGTGTTCTTGCATTCTAATTGCGCTTGCTGTAGCATCAAATTGCACAAGACACCACCACAATATGTTGATTATGCAATTAGTATCTCCTATTTTCGAATTATGGGCTTTTTTGTAGGGATATTGGGATTAATTTCAACATAGATTTGGTCACAGACCATTAAAAACCCATCAAGGAATACTGGACAGCTGTTTTATTCCTATTTAAAAACTCAGCGGTGCTCTCTTGTGATCCACCGTACCAGCGTTTTAATTTGAGAACTTTTAGTTATTAGGACAACGTAGTTCACTATCGCCAAGTAATACCTTTCGCAGACCATTCACTTCACTTTGACAAGGTTGACTCTACTGTCTCCGACTTGTAATTATACAGCTTCAGGACACCTATGCAGGCTAAGCTTCCCTCGTCAGTTGAAAGACCAGGGTTTGATCGCTGCTTGAATCTCGGGTGACTACTGATGAAGAGTTCCATAGTAGAACAAAACAGCGGCCCATTGTATCCTGGTATTCAATAACTTTTGACTGGTGTATAATATAGTGACGAAATCTAAATTAACGTTAAATATTAACCCCTCAAGTTGTGTTACTCCTCAAACTTTGATTTATATTGGTAAATGTCTATGTAAACACTGGGCGTGTATATTGACTGACTGACTGATCAACTGGTTTCAACATAGAACTTTACACAGAAGTGCTATAATTTGAGTTCCCACTCTCCTTTCATATATGGCACACAAAGCAAGAGAAAAGGGTAAAGGGAGGTTCAAAAGAGAGATAATAAACAGACGTGTGAGGGAAAAGTATGGTAGTAATATGAGAGAACAATGGAACTTTATTTGAATTTAACAAATCACAATGAGTGAATGCATCTGCACCAGCCACTGACAACGATTTTCTCTAATTATCACCGGTTCTTAGAATCCCAAGGTCCTTAACCAGGAAGTCTACACCTCCCTACGTGGTTGGCTTGTCGGCTTATATTAACTGTTATTCGCTCACATCAGATAATTGTCATTCTACTCAACCTGTGAGCGCCACTCAGCCAATGAATCGAGGTATATTGTAAAGCAGTAAAAAACTTGGGCACTGTGATAGAGTTAACTCCATTATGGATAAGATTTTATTTTGATAAACCAGTATTATGCAGTAATACTAACTGATGACGTTTCCAGCGCAAACATGTATATAAATGAAGGAAAAAGTTGTGTGAGTAATATGATTATGAGCAATAGTTTGTGCTCGAAACGTGGTCATCAGTTGATATTACTGTACAACACTGTGTGATTTATCAAAATAAAATCTTATCCATAATGGAGTGTGATGAGGGTGTTTCATTTTTGCTCTAGGTACTTCTTTAAAAGTTAATACAGGTACAACTTTGGAAGGGACGATTGCAAATGTATTTGTGACCCCTGGGAGTTTGAACGTGTATCGACTGCGCTTGGAAGTCAACTATGATAACCGCTACACCACGAGGGATGGATTCCGTTTCAAAATTAATTAGGTGTATTAACAATCTATCATGTTATAACTGTTGTTTTTTTCCAGTTAAATAAACAAGCGTTCTTTTACTATTTACCCTTTCAGAGTTCACCTTCTCCAAGGGGCATTCCCTTCATGTATGAAGAAATTGTGGGAGGCATATGATAGAGTGAAGGGTTCTGAAAATGATCATCCAAGTATGAAAAAGATGCATATTTGTGTAATTTTGTTTTTAAAAAATGTATATTCATAATTTACCCTCTAACCTGATCGGCTTGTGCAGCGTATTATTATTATTTTACCCAAGGTTCCACAGCACATCCTCACCTTGTGGTGTTCTCTACTGCCTTCTTCAGCTGACTCCGCAATTGACCATAAGCTCTTATTTCCTCTTCACACGATCTCCTCCATATTACTCTCCGTCATCCTATTCGTCTCTTTCCATTCAAGTTCCACTTGAGCGATAACCTAGCTTCCTTCAGTCTCTTCATCGTCTGTGAGATCCATCTCCATTTTGGGAGCAATAAATAGGTTCTTGGTTGGTTCGTTGGCTGTTAAAGTTCCTTGTCACTTATCTTTTCTGATCGGCCATTTAACCTTTAGTATGGACCGAGGTGGGTGACTGAAGCCTGTTTTGTGACGCGCCAAGTCTCTAATTCATAAAAGAGTGTAGAACTGTGACTGACTTGACATTGACGTTTAAAATCTGAGTCTTATTTTTTTTATCCCGGCTGTGAGTGCAGAGGATTTCCCAACTGATTTCAGAGCGATAAATGTCTCACTCGCTTCTTTTATCGTGAGTGACTAGTTTAGTTTTGACATCTTCATCCCTACCTTCAATGTAGTTGAATTGAAACGATGCTGCCCTAGATATAAGTGAAACGAGGAATTGACTTCTTTCCAATGTGTACTTCCGATAGTGATTAGTGGCTTGTTATTATTGGTTGGTTAGGTAGGTAGGTATCTTCATCACCTTCACTTGAAATCCTGTCTTCACTGCCTCCTGTCTCCTCTGCTAACCTTTTGGTTCTTCAAAAGAATGGTTACTGAACAAAGAATATTCATATTATTGATGAGTTGATTATCATCAGGCTCTACAGTTATATACCTATACATTATAGTGAATGAATGAATTAGTTAGTGTTATTAACAACATGATTGTTATTTAAATAACATCACATCATTAATAATCATAGTAATACCAATGGATTACAGTTCAATAGCATCAGCATAACAATACACACTGAATGTCAGTTGAATTAGGAAAGATAATATTACAAATTCATGAATTTCTTGTCTCTACTGTAGGCCAGTCTGGGCAGTAGTAGTGGCGGCTGAATTCGCTTGTTTTGCATACAAAGCACTGGTTGTTTCATACGAATTGCAACAGCCTCAGCTATTTGGAGCATGCGGTCCTTTGATGTTTTTGGCAATTTATTTGGTAGTCGGTAGATGACGATAAAGAAGGATTCTTCAACACTGGCTTTGTGGCCTGTTTGCACCAGATGGTCTAATATCGAACTGGTATTGGTTTTCATTACACTTTTACTTAGCCATAGTGAGAGATGTTCTCGAGTGAGCACGAAAAATCAAGTTCCTCAAGCAACGGCCGATATAACTCACTCCACAAGCGCAGTTGAATTGGTAGATGCAATTTGAAGTGGCTAGCTAGTCTAGGTACTTCATCTTTCAGTCGAGGTAGTCGTGTAGAGAATAAGACGTGTATTTCTCCAGCATTAAAAGTTCTTTGAACTGATTTTCTTAATTTACTCGTAATTGCTTCACTTGGTATATCGCTCTTGAGTTGCAGTCATATATAAAAAGGCTTGTTGTTTATGGTTAGTGAGTACTCCTTTTCGGTTTTCTTTGTCGTGTGTTTCTTAATAAATTTTTTGGGATAGCTATTTTCGATGAAAGTACCATACACGATGCTTAATTCATCTTCAATTGCTTCTTCTGAGCATATACTTCTATCTCTGTGGCTGAGGTTCTGTACTAAATTTCTTTTGTACTTGAGAGGAACGAAGCTGTGAAAATGTGTGTGTATATTGTCCTGTCCAAGTACTTTTTCTTCGCAAATTTCCTTTTATGCTATCATTTGGTTTTCTTGTAAGGAGGACATCCAGGAAGGCGATTCTGTTTTGAGATTCCTCTTCACACGTGAACTTCATAGTCAAATGTGCTTCATTGAATTCAGTAATTATTGTACTCCTATCCGAATCATTATCCCAAAGAATAAAGGTGTCATCCATATACCGGCAATAAAATGAGAACTTTCTGACAAAGTTGTTCAGAGGTTCATTTTCTATGTTACTTAGAAAGAAATCAGCCAAAATGAGACCCAATGGGATGCCCATCGCCACTCGTCCACTTGCCTGTGAAGCGTAGCGTCAAATTTGAAGTTTACATTCATGGTACACCTTAATAACAAACAATTCTTTTAGGATTTCAGTACGGATGCCAATGTTTGTCGACTGGTTATCCACTTGTTCGCACATGTAGTTAAATGTTTCTACCAGAGGTACATTTGTGAATAAAGGCATCATGTCCGGAGGTATCATGGTTTTGTCTTTGATATTAATATCTTTGATTTTGTCTACGAATTCCAATACATCTTTGACGCTATATTTCACTATCTTCTCATGCTTGTAGGTTTCCTAGTTTGTTTAACGCGGTGGATGCCTTTGTTTTTGGCTTATAATTATCTTGTGTTTATTGCTTGTAGTGATGAAGTGATCAAAGCCTAGGCGGTGCATAGAAATGACAACAGTCATTTGTGTAGCGTATGCCAACAGGTTTTGTTAACTTGACATCGTGTCGTGTGGTTGAAGCATATATTACTTGTACTTTGAGAGCCTCAAAGACTCATTGCCGCCTATCGATGATTAGGAAGTTAGTGAAGTTGAATGATTGATTATGAAACAGTGACTGTCGTATTCCGATGCTTAGATACACTCGCTGCGTAACCTATTAGCATCCAGTTGTGGACCCTCTCTTAGGAGGTTGGCGTTATGTCCTGCTGAAAAATAGACAGATGTCTACTGTACTTCATGGTGTTCATTTGTTTAGTAATTGATATATATATATATATATATATATATATATGATATTGAGGTTAGGCGTCGAGCGCTAGGTAAGGAGAGGAGATCAATCGATGAGACTGTGGAGTTACACCGATTGAGGTGGTTAGGACATGTGTTACGCCTGTATCCCTAGCCATCACCTTCCTCGACAGACAGGCACTGTTAGTTGACATAAAATCAGGTTGGAAAAGAGGTGGTGGTGGTCAAACCAAAACATGGCTTCATCAGTCAGTGTAATCCACAACAGTTAGTTAAAGCCATCCAGTCACGTAGGAAGGTGTAGACTGGCTTCCTGGTTGGGATCCTCGAGACAGTTTAACCAATAAAGACAGGAGACAATTGGTGATATGGCTCAAAATTATCGTTGTCAATGTCTGGCGTAGATGCATCCACTCCTTGTGACTTATAATTTCCCATCAAACTCTGTTGATCTTCGATATTACTATTCTTTTTGCCTCATATCTCTTTTAACTGTCAGTATTTTGCATTTCTTTTTACTTTCTTCCCTTGCTTTGTCTGGCGACTTGAACTTCTGCACATCGGTGCAAAGTTCCATGTTGAAACCAGTCAGTGTGATGATATCTACCTAGAAAAGGCTTCTTTGTTCATAAATATCTTTGAGTAAATGTGCCTAATTTCGTGGTTCCGTTAGCTATCCATAACTTCCAGACATTCAACGTTGAGATGCGGCGTGCTTCACTTGTTAATTAGTTAACAGAATCATTGCATGGCCAAATAATAGTTAAGAATTTTTTCTTTTTAATTATTCTACTTGTTATTTGGTAGGTAGTTGACGAACAGTGGAGTCCAGACTGTGCTTCTGATTACATCAGCTTGATATACCTGCAGTACCCAGTGATACTGGTGATAATTCTCCCACCGGGACTTGAACCCAGCACTCATTGTTTCATACACAAAAGCGTGTTTTCCCTCAGACCACTCTGGTCATTCTTTGTGTTCGCGTTGGTGGTAGACCATTAAGGCTTCAAACTGTGAAATTTTCAATATCTATGGTATCACTGTTGTTTGTTTTACAGAATAGGGTCAATAGCTTCACGCCCAACCTTGTCTGTACGTCGGTTGGGAATCAAGCTCGAACCTCTTATTAGTCCCGTATTCAGCCCGTAAAATCTAATCATACATTCATTCTCCTTTATCAGTTGGGAAAAAAAGAAATAGTGGTTTGTACAAAATAAAATGGTACAATCATTTATTTCGTTGACTCCTCATCAGCTGCTCAGTCCGAGGATATTGTTACGTTTATGTACAGAAACAATTTTAGCATACACAGAGAGTTTATTTTTAAACAAAAATCAATGTATGCATAAAGTGTTAATCAATAATAATAATAATAATAATAACTTTATTCCAAACAACATTAATAATAATCATACAGAATGGAATTTTTGGGCTAGAAGACGGTAGTCTCCAGAGATCAGTTTACAGAAAATCGATATGGAATTGGCAATACTTGGAGCTTAATATTTTTTTCTCCAAATAGCTATAAATGAGCACTAGTCATGACTGTGTACTATAGAGTCAGGAGAATACGCTCTATTGACAAATTAGAGGAAGACTTTCTGCTTCTCGAAAACATGTTGAAAAGTAGCGGTTACCTTCAAGCTTCATGAACAATTTACGGAGATATGAAGACTCACTAATGTCAAACAAAGTCACAGTAAAAAAATGGGCTGTCTTCATTCAACTCGCTTTTAAAAATGCCAAAAATTATTGCAATGATAGTCAACAGAAGATTGAGTACGTCACTAGCTAGAACCTATCATGGAACTAAGCCTGTTCCCGTCTATCGGACAACATGCACTTTGTTGCAGTCAAAAGTCGACAGACAGCCTTTTTGTGTTATCTCCACCTGTTTATGCAAATTAACGTGCGTGTGTGGAGGCAGTTACATTATTGGAAGAACAGAAAGAAGAAAGAAAAATCTCTGTTTTTCTTAACATCTACCGGTGCGTCGGTGGCACAGTGGTTAGGACTCTCGCCGACCAAGCACATGGTCCAAGGTTCGAACCCCTGCCGACACACATCTGATATCTGTGGTTGGCCTGCGAAATTCGGGCTACCGATATCCATGCTGAAAATTCCATACTTGTACCAAAAATACAGTGTGGAATCAAGCTGTAATCAAAAATAAAAAAAAATAAGAAAGCCTACGTCTCAGGGGTAAAAACTCTTGCAATTGTGTCTTTACCAGACATCTCCTTGTGAAACTTGTCAGAAGGGGGACATCATGAAATCCTTTGAAATTATAAACAGACAGATTAGTTCACTTCTCCTCAAGTTTGCAAAGGCAATTTCTGTCAAGCGCCTGAAACCTCGACATATGTGTTCAACAAGAAGCAGTTATCACTCTTTCCTTGGCCATCTGGTAACTGGATATCCTTGTTCCCTCTTTCATTTGATTACGTGATCTTTGATCTTTGACCTCATGCCTTTTAATATATTGTAATTCTCCTTGCCTCTTGTTTCTATGATTTGAGTTGGATTAAGTATGTTTTCACTCAATTTATGAGTTACTCATCATCTTTAGCCTTCCCTTCGGTTTTATTACGCAACTCCTTTACTGTTGTATGCATACATTTACTTTCTTTAAACTTGAGCTCTCTGTGTATGTGTGTCAGTATGATGGTTTCTGTACACAAACTTAAAAATGTCTTATGTCTGTAAATAGTAGCTGATGAGAACTCAACGAAATATATAAAGAAATGATGGTATACCATCATTATCTTATTCTGCACAAACGACTATTGTTTTTGCTTTGTTCGAATTCTATTCATCAAAAAACGTAAATACATTTTACAAGCTTATTAATTCACTTTTAATATACTGTATTTCACAGATTTTAATATTCTTATTTGTTCTTGCTATTTTACGTCAGACATCTTTCCTGATGACCAATTATGGGTGGTTTTAGAATCTGCATTTTGTGGTGTACCGCTTGGGGATAATATTGTAAGTTTTGTGGTATGCATTGAGACTGATTGTAGATTTCAGTGTGTGTGTGTGTGTGTGTGTACTACTTGTTTCCTATCTATTGTATCTGATTCCATTGTGACTATTATCTGAGGGCGGTGGCAATATTACAGTTACGTTTTCTAAAAAGTAGCTGAAAGAAAACTGCTATACCCAACTAATTAGTGAGGCATTATACTCTAACTGTAACTACAGAAGACAAGGGCCTGACAACAGATTGTTTGTTGAGAGACATTTGTAGATTTTTATTATTATTATTATTGTATCCTTTAGTTCCTAGAGGAACATAGGGCTTCAGCTGCGCACCTCCATTGACTTCGGTTTTCTGACAACTTTTTCACCCTGCTCCAGGTCTGTCCACATGCTTTCATCTCCTCCTCGCATGACCTCCTCCAAGTCACCCTTGGACGACCAACTCGCCGCCTCCCTTTCGGGTTCCACTCGAGGGCTTGTCTAGTGATGTCACTTGATGGTTTCCTCAGCGTATGACCAATCCATCTCCATTTCTTTCTGCCTATTTGTTTCACAATCGGTTCCTGATTGGTTCGCTCCCAGAGATCCCTGTTGCTGATCTTTTCTGGCCATCTGATCTTGAGTATTGAGCGGAGACAGCTGTTAATGAAGGTTTGGAGTTTGTTTGAGATGCTCTTTATGACTCGCCAAGTCTCTGATCCGTATAGTAGCACTGACTTCACATTGGAGTTGAAAATCCGGATCTTATTTTTGATGCTGATTGCTGTTGACCTCCACACAGATTTGAGAGTAATGAAAGCTTGTCTTGCTTTTCCGATTCTGGCTTTGATGTCCTCGTCAGTTCCGCCTGTAGTTGAGACGATGCTTCCCAGGTAGGTGAAGGAGGTTGTTTCTTTCAGGTTCTTCCCATTTATGCTTATTGTGGTCTGTTGGTGTTGTTGATGTTGGCTAGGAATCTTCATTATCTTTGTTTTATCTATGTTCACGTGAAGTCCTATCTTTGATGCTTCTGCCAACTTGTTACTTTTCACTTGCATATCTTCCAGTTTATGGGAAATCAGACATATATCATCGGCGAAATCCAGATCCTCCAAGTCTTTTGTGTCAGTCCATTTTATGCCTGTTCCCTCGTTGGTTGCCGTTGTCTGTCGCATTGTCCAATCAATTGCAATCAGGAAGATCATTGGTGATAGTAGACAGCCTTGCCTCACTCCCGTCCTCACTTCGAAGGCTTCCGTAAGTTTCCCGTTGTGGATTACTTGGCATGCAGCATTGTCGTATAACTGTTGGATGAGGTGTATAATTGTCGATGGGACCCCGTAGTAACGAAGTAGTTTCCAAATCACCTCGCGATCTACGCTGCGCTGTCGAAGGCCTTTTTAAAGTCGATGAAGTTGAGATAGAGAGGTGACTGCCATTCCAAGCTTTGTTCAATGATGATCCGTAGAGTGGCGATTTGATCAATACATGATTTGTTTCTCCTGAATCCGGCCTGTTCCGGACGAAGTTTTTCATCTAGGGCTTGTTTGATTCTCTGCAGGATGATGCGACTTAGTATCTTGCTTGGAATGGACAGAAGCATAATTCCACGCCAGTTTTTACATTGACTTAAGTCTCCTTTCTTTGGAAGTTTGAATAAGTATCCGTTCTTGCAATCCTCGGGTACTTTGCCCTCTTTCCACACCTTCTCCAGCAGTGGTGTCATCAAGTCCGCTGTTGTCTCTGGGTCTATTTTCAAAGCCTCTGCTGGGATTCCATCTGGTCCCGGTGTTTTCCCAGCTTTAAGCATCTTGATTGCATTCAGGACTTCTGATTTCGTCGGGGGGTCAGTGTTCACTGGTAGTTCTGCTTCCGTTGTTGGTATTGCTGGACGTGTTGTAGGTGGCGGACGATTTAGAAGTCTTTTGAAGTGTTCAACCCAGTGCTTTCTCTGTTCCACCTCTTTGGTGATTGACTTTCCATTGTCGTCCTTTATTGGCTTAATCTGTGTCGAACGTTTGCCCGAAAGGTTCCTAGTTGTTTGGTAGAGTGTGGCGAGGTCTCCTTTGCCTGCAGCTTGTTCTGCTTCGTTTGCCATGGTTTCATAAAATTTTCTTTTGTCTTCCCTGGCACTTTTCTTCACTCTTTTGTTCAGTGTATTGTAGCTTGCATTCAGCTCCTGTTTTTGTTGCTCGTCAGTGCACTGGATAATCTTTTGCTTCACTGTCCTTCTCTCTTCTATTAGTTTCCAAGTGTCCGTAGTGAGCCACTGTTTGTCCTGTCTCTTTTTTCTGCCTAGAATTTCTATGCAGGTTTGGCTCCACACCGTTTTCAAGTTGTTCCAGTGCTTTTCAACGCCGACCTCTTCGCTAGTGTTGATTTGTGTCTCGGCTTTGTCCTATATGCTTGCAATGAAGATGTCCTTTGTAGCCTGGTCCTTCAGTTTTTGAGTGTTGAACTTGGCTTGTGGTCTATCTGCAGCTCCTGATTCCCTGAAAGCTTTTAATTTGATTTGGATTGTCCCTTGTACGAGATAGTGGTCTGAGCCAACGTCTGCTCCTCTTCTTGCTTTTGTGTCCAGTAGGCTGCGCCTCCACTTCCTTGAGCATATTGAGATGAAGTCGATTTGGTTTTTGGTTTGCCCATCTGGTGACACCCATGTAGCCTTGTGGATATCTTTGTGCTTGTATACACTGCCACCAATCACCAGTTCGTTGAAGGCGCAGAAGTCGGCGAAGAGTTCTCCGTTTTCATTCATTTCTCCTAGAGCTTCTCTACCCATGATGAGTTCCCTTCCTGTATTGTCTGGTCCCAGTTTGGCGTTCATGTCTCCCATTAGTATTTTCATGTCGCCAGCTGGAGTATTGTCCATTGTTGCCTGTAGTTGCCTGTAGAATTCTTCTTTCTTCTCGAGGTCTGCGTTGTTTGTGGGTGCATAACATTGTATGATTGACACTTTCCTTCCTTTGGAGTTGAACCTGGCGGTCATTATCCTGGACGAAATCGCCTCCCATTGTATCAGGGCTTTCGTTGCCGTTGGTGACATCATGATAGCCACGCCCTCGGTGTGCGTGTGGTTATCTTCTGGGTGACCGGAGTAGATCACTGACTCACCTGTTGACAATTTGGTGAGTCCACTCCCATTCCATCTGCTCTCACATATTCCCAGCACTTGTATTCCGTATCTTTTCATCTCGTTGGCGATCTGGGCAGCTTTCCCAGTCTCGTACATAGTTCGGTAGATTTTTATGTACATATATTATTGTTCATTATTATTAGCAGAGGAACAGTGTCTTCTGATTGTTTGTTTTCCTGCTGAAGGTTATTTTGTCATCTCTTTGTTACCGTTTCTTGGACAGTCCAGTGATATATATATATATATATATCTGCGAATCGTACCCGCCCACGCAAAGTCTGCTGTGATTGGTTGTTAAATTCGTCAAGGTTAGCCTTTGTTCTTGTTTTCTCACATAGCCCCGGATCAGGACGTGAACATTGACGTCATTCGCTGTCACCACATTAATACTCATAAAGTATGTATCAACCCTAATGTTATGATTGCTGATAATGTAATAGCATGAATACAAAAGACTCGTATTGCACTTTTCCAACACTAGCCATGCCTAGCGTAAACGTGATCTCTGCCTGGCGATAGCCAGTCTTTTGACGTGTGTACTGCTCAGAAGCTCATTGTCTCCTTTATTTGTGTCTGTAAGACATTAGACCATTAGAATTGGAATATACCTGAATATAGGGCTAGTTCACTTTGGTCGCAGAAGTTTGCTTTCTCTTACCCGTGTGTAAAGTGGTATAATAGTTTGAGGAATATTGTGGTTAGGCATTTAGTGTTAGCTAATGAAGGGAAGTCAGTCTATGTGGCTCTAATACAACACATTGATTGAGATAAGCAAGGACATGTGTTGCGCATCCTGAGCCACTGTCCTCCTTGTTGATCAATGATCAGTGACCTAGAATCAGATGTGGCAGAGTTAGGCGGGGTCTATGGGTTCTTGACTTGAGAATCCCGCCCCACGTACAACTGCTGTATGGGTCTCCACAAAATAAGCCCTGTACAAGGTGATTGACACCTAACTTACCATTGTGTTCTGAATGTTACTCAATAAATAACTTTCTATAGTGCTACATACTTTATCATCAGTTGTCAGCATGTCTAGTATGTATAGAATTATGCCTCATCATGAATTTTCTCTTGAATCGCTGCACTTTTTGAAGTAAGATTCACTAACATACTGTCGGTGAATCTGATGCTCGCTGGTAACAGGCTACAGGATGAGGTTGTCTGGAGGTTCGTTAAAAAGGTGTGACCAGTTGGGACCACTAGGTCGGGAGTAAGGACAAACACTCTCCTGTGGCATTGGCTGGCGGTTGCGCTGTATATAGCGCCAACTGCTCTAAGTTAGAATTCTTGGGCTGGGGATTGAGGTGAATCGTCCTAATGGATGGATAGTCTACGAGCTTGTTTTGTAGCCGTAGGGTCCCAGATTCAAACTTCGCACTGTGGGGGAGCGTGCTGATAAAGAGTCCGGAACCAGTACTCTCTGATGGTTTCCAATGCTTCTCTAATTGATATCAACCCGCGGTCAATCCCTGCAGACTAACCCTTGAAAATCATTTTCTACTGGTTTGCAGTTTCAACTGATGGAAGCACTACAAATTTCTTCTCGGAGTTTTTGAGATTTGTGTGTATAATGTATGTTCTGTGGAGCTCTGATTTGTGGTCTAGACACCAGGCTCCTTCAACCGCCGGATTAAGAGTTGATGTTCGTTTCCATTCAACAATGTTTGGACAACCGAGAGGTATGTATCCCTAATCCTTACGCAGTAGATATGTGGCTCACTACTAACTGCATGGAATTGTGCAAATGGCTGTTGAGTAGTAGTAATGTATGTTCTCACCAAGAGTATAAGCGCGACAGAGGGAGTTACGTCTGACGATAAAGATTCTTAAAGGTTTAACATTTCCCCCCCTCCTTTGTGTTTCGAGTACAACATATGACTACAGACTTTAAGATATGAAGTGTCAGTAGTAGTGTTTGCTGTTAACTGGATTTGAGCGAAGGGGGTAGGCTTGCTATCCTCATGCCCAACTTTTTCTCTTCATCTGGCTTATTACTTTAAGGCGTATTAGTATAACAAAAACAAACTTGGCGCATTAACGACATAAAGAGATGCATCACACAAAATCTCGTCTGCCCTGATGATCAGATCGAAGCGGAGATAGTTATCTTAAGTAACTAACCTTTCCACCTGCCTTTGACATGATAATTCTGATCCATAAGGCAGGGGAGAAGTGTCATCGAGTACATTCCCATGCTTTCCGGTGATTCAGTAAGGTTCACATGTTACCCACATACACCATAGGTTTCGAATGAGGATTTCCCAGTTTCCACCAGTTCGGTTCTACACGCCAAAACTTTTGAATTCACCTTTTCAGTTTTGTGAGGAACATCCCTGCGTTGTAAAGGCTTAGTAATAAATATGATTTATCTGACAGTGGCTATGAACGGTTGTCGCCATATGATGGGAGTATTTCGAAAGAAAGACCGGAGTCTACCCATCCACCTAGTGCCATTGTTGGACGTTCACGGGGTCATCAGTCAAGCTAAGTTTAGGAGAAATTTTATATATATACTTATATATATATATATACTTGTATAATTTTTATTTCTGTTTTTCTTTCTTCTCTATAAAAGCCTTCTTGTCCTTGTGCAAGACTTTCGCTTCTCCTGCAAGTCGGATTTTCCCTTGCAGTAGCTGAGCAGGAAATGAATTTCGAACACAGAGATCTTCACTTGGGGAATGTTTTGGTCAAGGAAAGTCCTGTGTCTCGTGCTAGGAATCCTTCTTTATCCTCTAAAACATCATCATCTTCTTCTTACCCTTTTCCATCCGGCTCCGTCTCGTCATCGTCCACATCTCCGAAAGGTTACTGTAAGTATTGTTTTCATTTGGAAGGGGTGGAGGAAGAATCTGATAAAGAAAATAAAGAACATTTCATTATTGAAAAAGTCAACAATTACGAATATGTGGAATTTCGTCTGAATAATCAGATGATCAGAGTTCCCAAATGTGGTGTCACGGCTTATCTTATAGACTTTACTTTGTCCCGTTTAGAACAAGGTAAGTAGTCGGGTGGGGAATTATTTTGCACACTGTTTGTTTTCTCAAAGTTTCTTTTCATTCTCATATACTATAACTACTACATACTGAATGATATATATATATATATATTGGGGTTTCAAATCACCGAAAATATCCATTGAGTTATGAAGAAAATTAAAAGACGAATTGAACGAAGAGAATTTTCTTTATCGACGAAATCATCTTCAGAGGCTGGCTGTACAGTCGTATTTATATTTACCAAAATATATATAGTAGTCTATTATTGAGTGATAGGACGGATGATATAATTGATATAATTACTCAGAAGTGGCTTTAGAAGTAAAAAATAAAAGTTGTAAATTACGTGGTACTCAACGGCGCAAAGTTAGAAATTTGGTAAGATGAAAATTGCTATTGGGTGCCAATAAAAGTATTGAGTGAAATGTACAAAAGGAACATATGGGAGTGATAATAGTGAATTAACTATGAAACTAAAAGTAAAATTGGAAAAAGAAAAAAATTTTTTACAGGGAACGATTAGAGGAGGTTAAGACCATAGTAGAATAAGTGACTGGACTAACCTTTTCTGTCTACAAAGTCTGGGGTTGTATTGATGAATTACCATCGCCTTAGCCATACACAAAAGCCGAAACCTGATACCCTTTGTACCATTTGCCTCACCCTGTAGATAATCTTGAAAGACTACTCTGGTGGAATTACGTGGCTTGAGTTCACTAAATGCTCGAGAATTAAGCTGGGAATTGTCCTGCATTGTCCTTTGGCTAACCATGCCGGATAATGTTCTGAGGTGCGTTTGGAGAGTGTACGCTTTGTGGGGTCAATATAACTAGCTCCACAGGCGCAGGTGAATGTATGAACACACACTGAAGTGGCTCAAAGCGGAAGTTTATCCTTCGCGCATCCGAAGATCATTTGTCGGCTGTGGAAATTGATACGTAGCTCAGCCATGAAGAATGCTTTCCTCAGTGATATGCATAGGCGATTCTTCAGGATCTCAGTTGCGGTACCACCTTTAAATTCAACGCTCATAAATAGCAGTTTCTTCGGCACCGTCTGGGTTTTTCAGGCTTTTTCTTTAACTTCATAGTTTTCTCGATAAATCTTGGAGGATATCCATTCTCTATGAGGACTTGTCTGAGTCCCTCCAGTTCCCCTGTTGTTAAATTGACACTCAGTTACTATTATTCTCACTCAATAAGAATTTTTATCTTACCAAATTTCTAACTTTGCGCCGTTGAGTACCACGTAATTTACAACTTTTATTTTTTACTTCTAAAGCCACTTCTGAGTAATTATATCAATTATATCATCCGTCCTATCACTCAATAATAGACTACTATATATATTTTGGTAAATATAAATACGACTGTACAGCCAGCCTCTGAAGATGATTTCGTCGATAAAGAAAATTCTCTTCGTTGAATCCGTCTTTTATTTTCTTCATACTGGGGTTTGACTAAGCGATTCATAGTTTGCTAGTCGACCGGTAGCACAGTGGTTAGGACTCTTGCCGACCATGCACATGGTACAAGGTTCGATCCCCTGCCGACGCACACCTGATATCTATGGTCGACCTACAAAATATGGGCTACCGATATCCATGCTGAAAATTCCATACTTGTACCAAAAATACAGTGTGGAATCAAGCTGTAATCAAAAATAAAAAAATAAAATAGAGGCCATGATGCAATCAGTAACCTGGAACACATTTTGTCGACCAAAGGACGTGTATTGCTCAACAGTTTGCTCCGTGATCCCTCATCGCTGTTTAGTAGTAGTGAGACATAATAATAATGGTAAAGCTTTATCTAAGACAGTATGCGAATATACGGTACAAAAATTTTCAGCGTATTGAGTTCCAAAGTACTTTAATCTTCACACAGGATTCGCATGCAAAGTAATAATCTGAAGTGTATCTTCATTTTGTTGAAGAATTGTACAGCGTTTAATCGGGAGCGAGTTAAATCACCGTGCAAGTTTATGTATAGGTCATTTGATATAACTGGACGATTAAAACAATGATAAATCCTGATGAAATTAAGCACTTTGGAGGGAAGTAATCTCGGTAGCCCAATGATTTAAGCAGGCCACCAATGTAAGTAAAGGATATGAAAAGACTAACGGTCTTTGACTGGTCATAGGCGTTTACTTCTTATCTCCTATTTTAGGTGGTACGGTAGGTTGAGTAGTAATAAACGTAGGGCCTAGAGTGTTAGGTAAGGAGGGGGTGGTGAATGAATCGATGAGGTTGCTAGATTCTACATCTGTCGACATGATTAAGTCATATATTACGCATGTCTAGCCATCGGCTTCCTCGATAGGTAATGTTATCCGACTCATGTTATAGATGGTGAAGCCAAAACCTGGAATAAAAGCATGAAGTCTTAGCCAGTCCCGTAGGGAGTGGGGGAAGTGTAGGTAACCTGGTTGAGAGGTGTTCACAGGATCCTATGAACCAATAAAGACTGGAGATAATTGGTTATATGATTCGAAATTGTTCTCAAAAATGGCGCACAGATGCATTCACTCTCTGTGATCGGCTATATCCATTTAGACCATCATGTTTTTACATGTTACTGTTCTTTCTCTTGTTCATACTTCTGCTTATTACAGTTCTTTTGAATCTGTTTTCTCCAATTTCGTCTTCCTTTGTGTGGTACATGAAAGGAGTGTGGCAACCCCAACTGGTGTACTTCAGTGCAATTTCTATGTCGGAATTATCACTGTAAGCGAAGTACGTAGGTTCAAGGTGATGAAAAACATGATTTTTCGATTACTTAAATAGCGTAAATATTCATTCAGACATCTATAAAACACAAAATAATTGGGAAGTAGGGAATATCCCACAATTATATGAACGTATATTTATATATATTTTTTATTTAGAATATTCTGGAATAGTAGTCAATAACAAAATTGGTGTTTTTTTTAATAATATAGGTTTGTTAATTAAGATCACAATAGGATTACAGACAGTTCACGAAAAATGCATAAATTATAATAATAATGATAGTAAAAATATAATAGAAAATTGAGGATCATTCGAACCTAGATGTCCAAAAGTTGAGGACAATGTCTGAACCAGATTCTTTTGGATACATAAATTAGGCTTCTTAATGTGGATCCCAACAGCCAGTCTCAGCATTGTGTAGTAGACGAACTCTTAAGGCGAAGATAAGATTTGTTTGTATGCGGTAAATGACTTTGAAAGCTTCCTCGTTGATATCAATCTTGTGTTGTGTATCCAAAAGATGAGATAGAATAGCGCTATGTGAATGCATTTTATTTGTCGTTTACTTAACCGACCACTCAGGGTGATATTTGGAAATCCGACGAGAAACATGCCTAATTGTGCGGCCTAAGCAGCTAACTGGTTCCACACGAGCAGGCAAACTAGTAGATACACATGGAAGAGACGAAATAGGGCAGTTTATCTTTTACTCCCCAACGCAAAACAGGGGTGGTTTCGAAGACAGCGTGATTCAGCAGTAGGAAATGCTCTTTGTACCGCCGTATTCACTAGATGTTGTGTTGGTATCTGACTAATGTTATTCCCGAGTAAGTGAATTTGTAAGAATAAGGCCTTTTCAGGAACTGTTGGTCCCTTGGACTGCCTTGTTGGTTGATTCATATTCTTATCAATAAACGTTTTCACTCAGCGACTTTTTGATATTAATAAAAATTTCTCATCAAGATATTCATCCGAGCAGATTGCTCTGTGAAGCGAGCATTTTATCAGATTGTGTTTGCATTTCAAAGGCACGAAGCTGAAAAAATGAGTATACTGACAGTCGATTAAGGTTTTGTGTATACACTTCTTCCTATTGTGCCATCTTCTTTTCTAGTCATAAGGACGTCTAGAAATGGAATATTGGAGTCATTTCCTTTCTCAATAGTAAAATTTATTGCAGGATGAACATCGTTAAATTTGTCCACGCCGGATGTTCTTTGCTTCATCCTCATTTTTCATAATCAAAAATGCGTCAGTCATCCATGTACCGACAACAGAATTCAAGTTCATCAGTTGCGTCTTTCAAAGGCCCATTTTGTAGTTTTGCAAGAAAAATGTCGGCTAGAATGGGTCCTAGTGGTGACCTGATTGCCACACCATTGATTTGTCTGTAAAGTTCGTTATTGGATAAAAAGTGAACATTCTTTGTACATTTCAAGAGATGCTGTTTTATAAAAGGAATAGGAATGCCGACATCTATTTTTCGTCTTATGAGTTTTTCGCATACAAAGTCTATTGTCTTCATAAGTGTTACATTGGTGAATAAGAGAGATACGTCAAGTGATATCATGAATTTATTGTCCACATTTAAATCTTTTATCCCCAACAAATTCCATTGGTCTTACTTAACAAATCGATATTATTTAAAAAAAACATATTGTTATTGACTACTATTCCGGAATATTCTATGTTTATAAGCGTATACATATATAAAAGAGGAAATTATGGAGAAGGATATCCTTTACTTAGTTATTTTGTTTGTTTTTTTACCTCAAATAGAGCAGCTTCAAGGTGCCTGGCGGTTGTTTCTCCTGATTGTTGTCCACATTGTGGCAGTTAAAATTTTTCTTGGTATACCTGAAACAGGGAAACTATTAGTGTGACGTGGCCATAGAGTCAGTAGTACAACAACAGCATGAGGCCGGGCGATCGATCGGTCAAACACGATCTGTTTGAAATTAGTTTTTTGAGTAGCATCCATGAATCCTGTCGCCGGCTACAGACTACCACGAAGTAAATCGGGATGTACAATTTTTGGAGTCAAACTTTTTTGAAACCTTGTTCCTCCTCTCGAAAATGGTGAGAGATAGGTTGGGTGGCTTGCTGGTCATATCAGAGAAACATTCAGCTGTCGTTACATCTGTATTCACCAACAGACGCGCGCCCAATACTGTGTGAACGACTTATAGTAGAATGGAAACTGTTTTTAGCTTAATTCAATTTGATTGATCGGAGCGAAATGCTCGGCTTCAGGTTGACATGTCGACTCTTTGTGCAAATGCCTCAATGATGTCTGATGACTGAAACTGTTTCTGCTGTCTAACCAACGACTGGATCGTTGGAAAGAGCATTATGTCAGCTCATGATTAAATCCTCCATGCAATCAAACAAAATCCCTACAAAAACCAATACTTGAAAATCGCATTTATATTTAATTATTTGTGTGTGTACATGAGGTTTGTCAAGTTTAGATAATTGATCAGGTAATAAAAGAATGATCTAATATAGAAACATAGTTAATTGGACAGCAATTAAAGTAAGATTAAGTTAGTAAGTTAGATGACGTAATATTATTGACTAAAATGTTTCAACTTAGGTCAGGGTAGCAACAGAGGTAATTACAGGTAGAGACTAAGTAGAAGTGGGGTAGATAATAATGCCATTTAAATTAGAACTGAAGTTGAGCAATTAAGTTGGATGACGTAACATAAGTGACTACATATCACCCACCTTCATTTATCGCAAACTATTTATTCTTCGTTACCCTTTATATCAGTGTGCATGCCGCATATATATGTATATATATATATATATATATATATATATGCGTTCAGAGTGTTCGAAATGCGTTGTGTATATTATTTGTGTTTGAGATCAGTTCAAGTTTTTATTATTATCTGACATGAGTTTAAGAACCATTGGAAAACCTGGGAGTACTGGACTACTGTTTCGTCCTAGTCTGTGACTCTTCAGTAGTACGCACCCACCGGGGTTCGAACCCAGAACCTTCTTAAACATTTTCATTAAAGACTACTACAAGTACTACTCACACTGTGTATTACCGAATAGACTTATATTCAAAAAAATGATTGTGGAACTCTTCATTCAAATCGTGATCAGAGTTCATATTAGTTTGGTTTATTTTGTTTTTCATGACTGAACGACGAGGACTCTCAAGACTACAAGGTGTTTCTACCTAATTTTGTATTTATGACTGTCTGAGTGTGTGAAGTTACATTTGAATGAGAGATGGTTAGGACATGCGTTACGCATGCCTAGACATCACCTTCCTCCCCGAAGGAAAATGTTGGTTAACATAAGATCATTGTTGCAAAAGAGTTAGTGGTGTTCGGACCGAAATTTGAAGTCGGTCTACGAGAATCTTGAGAGTTGGAGGCACCGAAGTAGGGACGTGTGTAGGCTTCCTGGTTGGGCATTGTTATAGCTGACTCACATAGGATGGATCAGGTTGGAAAAGATTAAGGGAGTGGTGGTGGTCAAACCAAAACATGGCTTCATCAGTCATTGTAATCCACAACAGTTAGTTAAAGCCATCCAGTCACGTAGGAAGGTGTAGACTGGCTTCCTGGTTGGGATCCTCGAGACAGTTTAACCAATAAAGACAGGAGACAATTGGTGATATGGCTCAAAATTATCGTTGTCAATGTCTGGCGTAGATGCATCCACTCCTTGTGACTTATAATTTCCCATCAAATTCTGTTGATCTTCGATATTACTATTCTTTTTGCCTCATATCTCTTTTAACTGTCACTATTTTGCATTTCTTTCTACTTTCTTCTCTTGCTTTGTCTGGCGACTTGAACTTCTGCACATCGGTGCAAAGTTCTATGTTGAAACCAGTCAGTCAGTCCTCAGGATTGTAATAATACCAATGAAGACTGGAGACAATTGGTGGTGGTGATATGGCTCGATAATTGACATAGACACATTCACCACTTCTCGTGACTTGTTATATCGTTTTAAACCATCATGTTCTTTCGTGCATTTCTGCTTATAATGGTTCTTTTGAATATAAATTTTTGTCCGTTTTGTCTTATTTTGTGTACTACATGGGAGTGTGCTGTGGCAACTTGAACTGCCCTACTTCTTTGGAAGTTTCTATTTTGAAACCAAGTCAATTAGACGCTTTTACATTCAATTTTTGTAGACAACTGTTCATTCCAAGTTTTATTTATCGAAATTTATTCATTCCGATTTTATACCCACCTTCAATCCATTTTGTTGTATGATATGTTTCCCCTTTAATTGTAGATGGTGGTTTTGTCTATGTTGACTTAAGTAGTGACACTACTTTGTTTCAGTCCAAAGGTGATTATCAATTCGACATATATCGTCGTATGAAATCACATAATCGGTAAGTATACATAAAATGATATACTTTTTTGTGTTCAAGTAAATCATCTTTAAATATTCCCATTTATAATATTATAACTAGACATATAAGCGAACAATATTGTTATTTCCAATTAGATCTACTTCAGGCTTTACTCTGATTTACATAGACTTATATATAAAAAATTTTAACCAATGACAGTGATTTTGTGGATCAAATAATAATAATGTGGTAAATGTTTTGAACGTCGTTAATAACGATGATTATAATGATAAAATATTGATAATAAGGCTAATAAAGGTGATAAGAATAACAAAGTTAGTATATGCATATATGTAGACAATTCAATAAATAAATAAATTAGGTCAAATCAAATGGAACGATCATCAGAGTTTAAATAAATATCATAGAAGTACGAAGGAGATGGATGATAAGAAAGGGTGGGAGGGTTTTGAATAGAATGCATCTAGGCCAAGGGAGAGGTAGAACAAACTTTTTTGTATACAAAGACACTAGGATTGTTCTCTCGAATTCCCATAGCTTCGGCTAAGTGTAAAAAACGGGTTCTGATTCCGTTCGAATGACTCGATGGAATGCGGTGAATAACTTTGAAGGTACTATTTTTGTCCACTTGGTGACCGCTATCAATCGAATGAGCCAAGATAGGACTTCGTATGGATTTTATTTGACCTTTTCCGAACCATAAGGGAGGATGCTCATTAATGCGTTTGTTAAGCTGTCTGGTTATTCGGCCTATATAGCCAGCTTTCTCCACAGGAAGTGGCACAGCTAGCTGAATAGCCTATCCTTCACTTGAGCAATCAAAACTGGTCGGCTGGAAAATGACAAACAGAGGGTGGCGGCAGTATAAGTCCGTTTTATCGCTCTCGATGATCTCTGATGTAAGACTTCACTAGCCACGTCCCCATTAAATTGGAGTTTCATGAACAGTTGTTTCTTTTCAACTGTTGTCGGTTTATCTTTATTTTACTTGGTGTTCATGTGTCTTCATACAAATCTACTAGGACAACCCATTTGGACTAACGTATTTTGGATGTATCCTAACTCATTCTCTAGCAAGTCATCTGTACAGATGCGTCTTGCTTTATTCGTTAGGCATCTGACCAAATTGATTTTGTATCGGATTGGTACATAACTGAGGAAATGTGTATATTGTCCTACAGACGTAGGTTTTCTATAGACATCTCTCCTGAGTGAAACATCCTCTCTTCTGCTCAATTGGACGTCAAAGAAGACTTTTGCCTGACAAGGTTTTTCTTTAACTGATGTCAGCTAGCTTGTGATTGTACTTGTAACCAGTCGGATCCCCTGCATACACTAACACTTGATAAAATCTTTCTCCTCTCCCATAGAAATGATTGGAAGAAGTTTTCGCCGAAAACCAATGTTATGTGGTTTCACTTTTTGACGACAAAACTATGCTGTGATTCGCCCGAACTAGCCTCATCATCTGCTGCATCCACCTGCATCGAACGTCATGCTATTTGTTGTGAACAGCTGAAAGACTTAGAGTTGAGCACACGGAGATTCAAATACAAATCCGCATTCGACTTGGTGACAACACACAAATTGTTTAAAAACTGTCGGTATTTTTTCAGTGATAAGTAACTTCTCCAAACGTGGTTGTGAATGTGTGTGTGTGTTACCCTTTCACATTTTGAATTGTGCTCTTTCATTTTTTGTCTTCCTGCCTTTTTTTGTTTTCTGTGCCTTCTGATTTTTTTGTACTTAAGTAACACTATTATTTTTTTCTATTGTTTTTATTTTGTTGATTGAGATAGAAATTAGATATATGTATATATTTTCTAGCAAAAATGTCTGTTAGTTGATGTTTATTCGGTTGAAATATAGGCATTTGTTGTGAATTGTTGCTTGTGTTATGTTATATATAATGCATCCAACCTGTGTTTAAGAAGGCTAGTGGCGTGCAACTACACCACCAGTGTGATTGATTGACTGGAACTGTCATCAGATGGCTTGAAGCATTGGAAGGAAGCTAAGAGTTACCGGAGTGTTTTTTTTCGTATCAGTTTGGGACTTTTTGGCAATACGCGCATCCGTGTCCCCAATCGGCGGTCGGAATCAGGATTCGTAGTTTATATGGGTGATTCGTTGACCACTTAGCCACTGGGATAAGGTCTGATAGCTTATCGTCTTATAACCGTAAAGTTCATTGAAATGGACCTCGATGAGGTCCAGTTCTCCCAGCTGTTTCTTTCATCTGTTCTCTAACTGATCTCGGTCAGTTCGTGATCTTACTTCAAATCCTTGCAAACGAACTCTTGAAAGGTAGTTAGTTGTAGCTGCTAAACATATGGGAACGGCATATATACAAAATAAATTCCAGAGAGTCGGGATTGAGGACAAATTGTTAGTAGTCGCGCTAAAATTTCAAATCAGTAAAACTGTTGAAACTCACGAATCATTGAGCTGGATCCCGGCGGCTGAATGAATGCTTTACGAGGATATCTTTTAACCGGAAGATCCGGGGTTCGAGCCCCACAGTGTGGATGATGATGAGCCTCAACCTAGAAGTAAACAGCTCTCCAGTAGTCCTACTTGGTCTCTCAATGGTTCTCTAACTGATGCCAGTCTGCCGTCAAGAAAATAAGACAATCAATACTTGGTGATAAATACTACAGTGATTGTCGAATACAAAGTAACACTCTTCATTTTTAATTGACACTGCAGTCGTACAGGAATATATACTTTGCAATATTGTCTTTCATGTTTGGTCACTAGGTACTCTGACTCTGAAGTTCTTAATAAATAAGCTAGTTGATTAATGACATGCTTGGATCAACTTATGATGGATGTTGAACCCTTTGGAATTATTGTTAACTCATCTTTCAACCTTTTCCAAATGCACTTAGTTGAGACGCATAGATTTCTATCGAAATAACATTGTTAACTGCCTTGTTCATCTCTTGTCACTCTCATAAACTGCTCCTGGGGTATGATCAGACTACTGATAATAAATATTTTATTAGAGACCTGGCTTCAAGGTATTCACTCCATACATATGCTCGAGCTGCTTTCGCTGACTTACACCATCTCTGGCGTAGGCGTGACATCCGGTTATCAACCAAGGGACGTGTGTACTGCTCATCAGTTCGCTCCGTCCTTCTCTATGGCTCTGAAACATGGCCAATACGCGTTGATGACATGAAAAGGTTGACTGCTTTCGATCATAGATGTCTGCGATCTCTGTCTCACGTTAGGTGGTTTAATAAGGTAAGTAATGTTGACGTTAGGCGTAGAGTGTTGGTCAGGCAAAGAGGGAAAATCAATCGACGAGGTTATAAAGTTACATAGACTAAGATGGCTAGGTCACGTGGTGCGCATGCCTAACCACCGCCTCCCCCGACGGGCATTGTTAGCTGATATAGGTTCAGGTTGGAAAAGAGCCAGTGGTGGCCAAACAAAAACATGGCATCAATCCATGAAATCCTTGACAGTTAAACTGAGTCAGGTAGGGAGATGCAGACTCCCAGGTTGGGGCCCTCGCGACTCTAGGAATCAATGGCTGGAGACAATAGGTGACATGGCTCAAAATCGTTGTCAATGGCGCAGATGTATTCAATCTCTGTAATCTTTCATATTCCTTTCTACCATTACCCATTCTGTTTCACTCTTATATTTGTCAAACTCTATTAATTCTCTTCACTCATCTTCTTGTCTACCTCTGTGTGCTATTTGGAACGTGGCAACTCGAACTGCTGCACTTCGGTGCCAAGTTCTATGTTGAATCCAGACAGACAGACATATGCTTTTACTGCGGTTGTTCTGCTCGAAAATTCAGCCTGTGAAATTTTTCAGTTAGCCTACTTTCTTTTTATGTAAATTGTCAGATTGTGGCCCCGTATATACTGCGATGGACATAACATCCATGGTGATATCTCACGTGGTTTCGTGCTCTTTTCGACAAATGTGTAGCTCTCTACTTTCTCTGCAGTCGAACGGTTGCTGTAATTACCTTGTCTACCGTAGAACACTTCTTTTCCACAAGTTTCGCAGTACAACTAGCTGGCATACTCTCTACAACTGTGTTTGTTTGCTTTTGAGCGTTACTTGTATCTCGTTATCATCATCACTAGCATCTGTGAAAATTATCATGGACATTTAACAAAAATTTTGTGTCATCGGTCGATCATCTAAAAGTTCCATAATCTGATCGCTTGTCTACTGTACCTCTTCGATCCAAGTAAACGTAGTGTGTTACGTAACAACCTACAACTCAAGGTCTCTAGTGTCTCCTTGGAGGTTTCCACAAACATCTATTCTCAAATGTGTCTGTGAGGGAAATAATAGTTGAGTGGAGATTTGCATGATCAGGAAGATGGTTGGCTACTGGGGGTGGGTGGTGAATATATCCTCCACGGCAATAAATTCAGTTTATATTTTCGAGAGACTTCGACAAAACAATAAGAACTCGTCAGTTACCTGGAAAGTGTGTAGTGTTTTTGCGCAACAAATTTCGGACATGTAGAAATTATATTTGTAAAATCTCAGCGGGGTTGAAATAAGTAATTCCAACGTTCCGTTCGGCGAACTGGGGCCCATAATAATTTCGACTAGTTTCCCTGAAGAAGTTCGGACCAGTTACTTATTTCAATTTCTCTGAGATTTTTACAAATAGAACTTTCACATATGCCTACTTTTCACTTGATCCCAGTTCGTGAGAAATTTCAGACATTCTGTTCACATACGCATTTTTGGCATTTTGGCGGCCTGTTTGACACCTGGGCTACCTTTTCGTGCATCTACATATTGCATCTAATACATCATGTTTTCATTCTTAATTTTAATAAAATGTGATCACGAATCGTATAAAATACAGTAGTTCATCCACTAAACATTTAAAACCATATGACTTTCATGCATCTAATAAAACTAAGACCTTATTGATTGTATAACAGTCAAATGCCGTCCGAAATACTTATCCAAGTTTAAATACGTCTTCATCTCAAACATTTATGTTACTCCTGGCTGTTCTGCCTCGGATCTATCGGATTTTGCTGACGAATCCACTGAATTCGCCGTTACACATCTTGAAAACTCTTTATCAGTTGTCACTGGAGATTTCAATTGCTGTGATTGTTCTTTCCTTGTATCATTAGGTCATGTCAATATTGTTAAATTTCCTACTCGACTTGATAAACTCTGGATCTAGTGTTTAATAATGATGAGGAAATATATGAATCACGGAGACGAGCTCCTATAATGAACTCGGGTCATTGTATTATCCGGATATTACCTAAGATATACAGCAGATCTCACTTTAATATCTTCTCAAATCTGTCCAGGGAAACACAGCAAAGGTGTTACTCACAGGAAAATATACTCAAACGAAGATGTATGCTAAATGACACAAACTGGGAACTTTTCAACGAACACACACTGGATGATACTATTTCCAATTTGACTGACTATCCTAAATTCTACCTTGATATATGCTGTCCAAAACAGATACTCTCCAAAAGAATGACTGTTTCACTTCCCCTCATCTCAAAAAGCTTCGAAGAGAAACTGTACAAGACAAAGAATAAATCTGGTCTTAGGAAGATAAACATCCAAATTAAATCTGAAATCAAGAGACTAAACAATATTTATGATCAAACAATACTCTCGTGTAAATCTTCAGAAAACATATGGAAGCTTTTTAGAGAAATTATAGGTAGTGGTAAGCATAATAATTTTGCCTCTTCTATTGATGTAAATACTCTCAATAGATCTTTTATCCGCCCTCCAAATGTCTCTTCTGCCTTCAAATTAACTGATAACACGACCAGTGACTTTCATAATTTCAATACTTTTGATGTTCTTAAATGTTTAAAATCTCTTAAACCTTCCCAGAGTCTAGGCCCTGATGGTATACTTGTTAAGGAATGATTTAAGCCATCCTAATAATGGGTCACGTATTCCTAAGGAGTTCAGCTTATTTGTTAGCAGTAAATGGTCAACACGGTAAAATGCCTTAGAAATGTCAAAGTAGATGACAAATACTAGTTTCTGTCTGTCACGACTGCTGGTTACAAAATTGAAGAAGTCTAGGTGATATGTTAAACATGAACTGGATTTCAGGAATCCATGTTGGTTCGGACTTATAATATTGCGGCTAAGCATATGTTTGATTAAGTTGTCTTTAACTAGTCTCTCCATGATTCTAGATGCTATGGGTGTGATATTGATCGGCCGGTAGTTACTGACTTCAGTTTTCGAGCCAGATTTGTGTTTAGGCATAATGAATGTTGTCTTCCGTATGCCAGGGTAAGTTTGGGTTTCTAAGGACATTGTGAATATTTTAAGCAGCAGTAGAGGAATGTCAGGGCCACCATATTTATAGAAGTAAGATGATATACCGTCTGTCAGCAAAGTCTCATAAACCGTTAATGCCCAGCTCTCGCTACGCTCGGGCCCACGCTGTTCTTAGAAGATTTCTCAGAAACGCTTAGTAACAACGGACGAAAAAACCAAAACACCAATTGTTGACTTGAGTATTATGTATTGTTACACCAGCATATAAATCAAGTATCACTAAGCAAACTAAGGTCTGTAAACAAATATTACAATAATAAATCGTTATGTTACTTCTGACGATGTTTAAC